GTTTTACCGGGACTAAGGGAAAGCAAAAACGTCAGTTTATGGAATCTTTATAGAGATCGGACAAGAGTATTTACCTGGATAAAGCTTCATTAACTGGCATATTTGAAATGGCTGTATAGGTGGGACTGTGATTGATGGTAATGGTGAAATTGGCACGTAGGGCGGGTTCATCATAACAGGGGAAGGCATGACGAGCATCGGTACTTTCGAATTGAGTTGTACCCAAGTAACTGGAATAATAGGAAAAAATTTTTGAAAAGTTTTAATAAATCAAGTAATTTTTAGAAAAATATTAATATTTTTGGATGTATCAAAAACACATATTTCTAGCCCTAGAGTTGTGCACATATATCAAATGAATGGTAATTCAAATGCCTTTCTTTTAACATACATACAAATTTGATCAAATTAAACATTTTGGAAAAATCGTGGGCATTTATAATGTTTGATCATATCTACGTTTTTTGTAGGCAGATTTTACTGAGCAGGGGCCAAATCCTGGCATTCGAAAGCGACCGAAATTTCTAATAACATTTTTTAAAATTCTATTGAGAATCGATGTCGAATGACAGAATTTGCCTCCAGATTTTTACATGTTCAACAGAATGCTTTAACATTTGGATACTGAAGATATTTGGAAACTCCAGACGCTTGATTTCAACAAGCTTATATAAAGAATAAGAATACATATTTGAACTCTTTACAGAGTCTTAAAATTATGCTGTAGACAATTTGTGGAATCAGTTTATATGCTTTTTTTAAGAAATCTAAGATTTAAAATAAATATTTTCCACTAGTGCAAATACCCATTACACTTACCGAACTTTGCCTTCGTCATCAGTATAGGTAGACAAATAGAAACCACCATTATCGTCACGCAATTTACCACTATATTTTATGGTCAATTTCCATTTAGTATCGGCAGCAAATGGTGCGCCAGTTTTACGTTTCAACGTTAAAAATTCACGTTCTAACTCATATTCCCAAGTCAATTCCTCCGATTCTCCCGAAGAAGGATTTGCAATAGACACTTCAAAATTCTGATCAAGTTCACGTGCATGTATAACAATTGTGGTCGTAGGCTCAACTACCACAATATCAATAACGACTACACCCTTAAAAGGTTTTTCACCCGTGTGAACATTTGTGGTTAAAGTAATATCATAATGTTCCGGATAGGTGTTATTAGGTAAACGATAATTTAAGACAGTTTCCTTATTTTCAGCTCTTGCATTAGGATTTTCAAAACGCAAACTATTATCACTTTCCACTAAAATAGGTAAACGACGCGAAGCCGACTCGACCGTGCTGGCGAGGAAAAAGGCTGCCAGAGCCAAAACACAGATTGAAGAAGATAATTGCATGTTGCTGATCGTTTGAAAAACAACATGCGTTTAAGTTGAAAACCATTTGGGTGTCGAACATTTATAAATTTTACTCTTATAATTTTACTACATTTATTTTCTATATTATAAAATTAGGCATTATCTTTGTTAATAAATAAATTTAATATTATCAATGGAAGCGCGATAAAAAGTAAATTTAATCTATGTTAACTGTTATATTTTTGTTTTATTTGCAAATGACGGCTGTAAATATTTTAACTAGACGATTTCAAAATAGATTTTTTATAAATAAAAACTGATATTTGTGAAAAAAAAATTACATTTGTTTTAGAAGAAAAAACTGAAAACTGATAAAGTTTTCGTATGTTTTAGTTTAGAACTTATTTAGTAAATTTAGTACAGGTTATTTATTGATCGATATTTAGTGTCTTGAAAATTAAGAATATTGACAAAAAAATGTTAAGAAACATTTTAAAAAAAACCTATTTATTTTAAAGAAAATATTTTTATTACTTTATCTATTTCTCTCTAGAACGAGAATAGACTCGTTAGAAACCAGTCAAAATCCCTTAAATAATGAAAATAATATTATTGAAACGATTCTTGAATTTTTAAATTCGTTGAAGTCTTTAAAAAAGTAACCGAGTACTTATTTACATTGATCATCACTTCTTATCAGTAAAATTAGATTTGCTATCAAATAGGATTTAATATTTTTGACATACATACATACATATGTTGTGATACTCAAAATTCGATTTGAAGAGTTTGGATTGCTGTTGCGAAATGATGACGTCTTTAAATGATTCTAACATTCTATAACTAATTCAATTTAAAGAGAAAAATGTAACGTATTTACAGTGTTGCATAAAATCGTATGAAAAAAAAATCAAAAATAAATAAAATTTACTTCAATTACTAAGTACGCAATGCGTGCAAAATATTTATTTGCTATATTTGAAGCTATTTATAGTTTTCTTTTTAGATAAGGAATTCGATTTAGATTTTGAAATAAACAAAAAACACGAGAACATAAGCGATTATGTTGCTATAGTTTGGGGTATGGGTATCCCCTTTTATTAGCACGAACAAAGTATTAAGTATTCGATTATTTATAGATTATTTTCAAATTCCAAAAATTTTAAAATATTCAGTACCAAAGTACCTAAATAAAAAGGTCTTCTTGCCCCATACTTTCTGATAGTAATTTTCTGAAGACCGCACAAATCTTCAGGCTCCAAATCTATTGAACTATCTATTCAAAGCTAGGAAAATCCGTCTATAAATATGTGTAATATTTCAATAGTTACATCTATTCATAGAAAGGCTATATGTCTGTATATTAAGAAAGACTTTTCGGTGACTTTCCATTTGATATATAAACATAATGTCTAGAATTAAGTGTTTGAGATTTATTAAAAATATACAATAGAGTGTCCCGAGGAACTGTGTTAATACGAATTAATGTACTGAACACGAGAAAATTAAAATATATTATTTTCTGAAACGGTCCTCAGCTTCCTACCAGCGAATATAAGATCTTAGTACAACATGTAAAAAATATTTCTGCAATCTTTTCGAAATCGGTCTCAAATATTTCTTAAACATTAAATTTTATATATCTATTTTATAAATTTTGAATAGCAAAATTTTCACGTGTATACACGATATTTAAAACAAGTAAGAGTGCTATATTTGGCTATGCCGAACCTTAAATACCCTCCACCTGTAAGCTTTTTGAAACCCATCTAAATAGTTTTAGATTTTTAATAAATTGTGAAAATTTTAAATTTTGCTTCCGTGATGGGGGTGCTAATCATTTAGAAATTATTTAGTAGTTGCTAACTTTGATCAAGTCTATAACTAGTTTATGGACCTGTTATGGAAGATATAGCCAATCCGAACAAAATTCGCAGAATGATTTATCGATGTTAATGAAATATACTTACTTAAGGAAATGGGTCTTATAAGGGAGCTTTGACCAATTATAGACTGATCCAAAAATTTTTCAGAATGATTTATATATACAATAAATACTCATGTCAATTTTTATAGCGATATCTCTTTTTGTCAACGAAATATGTGCGGCTAAGTAATTTTCGGAAGTGAACCGTATATCGGGGACCAGACAAATTGTGGGCCCATCCAGAAAAAATTTAGGAGTGATTTGTATATATCAAAAACATATTTATGAGGAATTTTAGTCCGGATACGGAAAATATTTCTCATAGTGGTTTATATCTACTTTAAACATATTCATTACGAAATTTATAACGATATCTTTATTCAGTAATGAAATATATACGTTTACGTGGTATTCGTAAGTGTCTCATTATATGGTAGGTATGACCAATTAATGACCGACCTGGAAAAAATTTGGTAGAGTCTTATATGTATGTATACACAAAACATATTTATGTCGAATATTATTCCAATATCTTTATTTATTAAGTGCTTTACGGAAGTGCACCTTATATGGGAGCTGTGTCCAAATATGGACCGATCAGGAAAAAATTTTACAGGCTGTTTTATATGTACTTTAAACACATTCATAATAATAATCTATGTGCATTTACGTGGTTATCGGCAATGGGACTTATATAGGAGCTATGCCCAATTATAGACCGATTCGAAAAATATTTTTCAGAGTGATATATGTATACAAAAACAAAATATTTATGTAGAATGTTATTCAAACGTCTTAATTTTTTAATTAGTTATGTGCATTTAAGTGATTTTCGGAAGTGGACCTTATTATATGGAAGCTATGACCATTTATGGATACATATTTACGTTGGTAATATGTGCAGAATTTCGTGGTGATACCGATATTTTATATTAACGATAAACCCATTTTCGGGAATATGTATCTTTGTATGGGGGCTATGGGACATTTTGGACCGATTGTTTTGAGTTTGAACACAATTGATCCCTGCGCAAAATAAATCACGTGTGATAGAATTCATTGAATAATGAAGTTTCTGAGGAAACTACAAGAGAATTAAGAAAAAAAGTCACTTTTTTCGAGGTAGTCTGAAATTTTTACTCATAACTTTTTAAGTTGTAAACCGATTTTGCTGATTTGCAATGCTAAACTGCTCAGGCCAATAATGAATATTTTCGAGGAACTTGGTTGATTTCCTTTTCTTAGTTTTAACGTGAGTGTGTTTTACATAGGCAGACGGACGGACAGAATTTGATATATACCCTCTATCACCACTGATGGTGGTGGAAGGTATAATGAAGTACTTTCAAATCCAATGACCGAACTGAGATAAAAAACGATCTCATAATTTATATATGTTTCCTTATAGGATAGGTACAAAAGTGGAGTTCAACTTTTAATTGCAAGTATTTCTATATAAAATTATACAATAACATAAAATTGGCAAATATAGACTAAATCCAATCAATCCAAGTGCAATTGATTCAAAAGATTTAAAAATGATAAGAAATACGATATTTGACTTCAATATAATCTAATCTTAAAAATAACAAATTAATTTTCTTTTTCGACTTTTTAGTAACTCAATTAAAAAAATTTATATTATATATTATTGAACAGATTACATGTTATAAAATAAATATAAATCGTTTAAAAATTATACATAGTATTCCCATTACAAATATTACGTTGTAATATGGGGTGTGAAATGTAGTTCGGAAAATTATTATATTCCTAAAATTATTATTTAAACAGTTGAATCAACATCATTGCCATTATCTCTATGATATTGCTCCAACCAGGACATCAATGCTTTACGATTATTATCAAGCCAATCAAAATTGGATTTAATTACAGACTTAACATCCGTTTCTAGAGTAGTGGTCATATTTTTATCCTTTACCTTATCCACCAAAGCTAAAAATGTTTCTTTCTGTTTTTTATTCATCACATACACAGACATTTCACGTATAGTATAATCCACGAGATTGGAATCATCAGTCTTCAAATTGCCATATGCTTGCCAGTGGTTACTTAAGAATTCAATACATGCCAAAATGCCCACACCGCTTCGTCGTATAACCGGACTCAGTAATGTATAACGTTCCTCTTTAAGTAATTTATTTTTCTCATCAATAGAACTTTCTATTAGTTGTTTTATATGATTTTCTTTTAGAGAACAAGCTAAGGATGAAATCAATTCCGAACGCAATATTTTATCTTTAGAATCCATTAGTTTGTTATAGACAAAATTAAATTCCTCATCAGTGGATTGTATAAGACCATTGCAAAAGATGGCGGCCTGTAAATTGGGTTCAATAAGTGTATTATGCTCTATATAGGCTTTGAATTTTTCCTTGGTTTCCCTTAAACAGGCTTGTAAGCCCGCCCAACAAGCAATATTAATGACAAAACTTCGGGTGTATTTTTGATAATGTTGATCGCCAGGTACATCCTTAATTCCCAGTTTATCATAGATGGGAGCAGTTAATTGAGCTATAAAAAACTTCAGATCTTCAATGTTTTCATCGCTATTCAAATAACGATTTAAAATAACAACAATATCATTGACTGTGGACCAGGGGGCATACTCTTCCTCTTTCTCTAAATAAGTCATCAGATTCAAAAAAACATCATGAGTCAAATGATTAGACACACTTAAGTAATAGGCATCATGTAACAATTGGGCCCGATTCAGAGGATGTATATTATAGTATTGCAGCTTTAAACTATCTATGATAAGATTCCAATTTTCTTTATCATAATTTATGCGATAAAATCCAGTGGACTGTTTATTGAGTAACAACCAGTCATCGGGTGCAATTTTAGCATCTTCTACTACGATTTCTTTAATATTCAATAAGAAGTCTGTAGCTATTGTATTGCTAAAGTCCCGAGTCGAAGCAGTTACATAGTTAAAGGGTATAAACCAGGTTTTATTGCCTTTAATGTTTTTGTCTTCGTAAAATGTCTCCTGTGTTACACTAAAGGTACCCGATTTATAGTCTCGTTTTACATTTAGCAAAGGATAATTACCCTGATGTGACCAGGTAAGCATAATTTCCGTAAAATTTCCCGAGAGATTCGAATTTTTTTCTAACATAGCTGTATCTATGGCTGTAAAAAGTTGATTTTCCTCTACGGTGCTATAATTGCTGGGAAAGGTAAAATGATAATTATTTGGTTTAGTGTCAAAATTTAAGTTTGTAGTACTTACTTAGCCCTTAAATAGTCGTACAGAGCTTGTTTGAAAATATCTTCCGTTAAAGCATGTCTCCACATATTAAACACACAACTTGCCTTGTTATAAGATACAGCATCGTAAATTCCGGCAATTTCATTGGGCGTTTGAACATATGATGTCATGGCTCGTGATGTATTGATGGCTTGTGTGACCAAAGCAGTTTGATAACTGTTTGTATGGAATTCTTGCATAATATCCCATTCAGGATAGATCTGTAGGAAATGTAGAATTATGAACTATTCGTTTGTCTCTCAGTTCAAAATTTGCTATTCGCCTCTCCCGCTTCTTATATACCCTGCATCATATTTCCTTAAAACTCCCCGATGTTCGCCTGACATTAACTGACCGACTTTGTTAGTTTTTAATAGGAAAATGTTCGAAAGCATACTTGAATGATCAGAGGCTTATATTAGGAATATATCAGGGGCTTTCATATGCATAATTAAGTGCAATGGATTCAGAATATATGTATATACATATATACGTACAAGTAAGATGACAAAATTATATAAATATCTTTATCCGGAAAGTGAAATAGATACAAATCAAATTAAAATTCTAAAATCTATATAGGTTTATATAAATTAACTCTCGCTTTCGGAATAATGATTTTAATCGACTATTGTTCTTTAAAGATTAATATATTTTTCATAGATGAGGGGTATATAATCTCGCAGTTAAACCAATAGATAATTTTTTTTTTTTTGTAATATTTACATTATCCACAGTTGTATACGAACATAATGAAGCTAAACCTTCCTTCAGCCACAAATAAGTCCACCATTGAATCGTTACATAATTACCAAACCATTGATGACACAACTCATGAGCTATCATAGTAGTAATATCAGTTTGGCTAAAAACTGTTGTAGAGTTTTTATTGTATAGAAGAGCTTCCTCACGATACGTTGCTAAACCCCAGTTTTCCATACCACCCGATGTAAAGTTAGGTAAAGCTACCTGATCTAATTTGGGCAGCATATAATCTATGCCATAGTATTTAGATAAATGTTCCACTATTAGTATGCTAGTAGTTAAAGCCCATTCATGTTCAAGTTTACGTTCCGGTTGGGAATATAAACGAAGTGGTAAATCATTGGATATAATTTCGGTGTATTCAAAATCGGATATAATAAAAGCCACTAAATATGTGGCCATAGGAGGTGTAGTAAGGAATACAGTTTTTCCGGGACTAGAAAAGATAGTGGTTTTGGAAATTAAATTGGTTGCTGTAACTTAATAAATAATCAGGCCTATTCTGAATAATAAAGTCCCTGAGAGTTCGTTCCCTCTCCTATACTATGCAAAAGGGAATAAACTCCCGAGGAAGTATTGTTCGCAATTACCCTGAATATGTTTGGTCTTAATCATAGCTATTAAAAGAAATTACCTGGATAGTTCTTCATTTACCGGCAAATTTGAAAGGGCTGTATAGTTGGGACTGTGATTTATGGTTATGGTAAAATTGGCAAGTTTTGCCGGTTCATCATAGCAGGGGAAGGCAAGTCGAGCATATGTACTTTCAAATTGTGTTGCGGCCAGGAAACTATAACAAATTTAAAGAAATAGAACTATTTGAAAGCAAGTAGGACAATATAGTCGGGCATGGTCCGGCAGTTTTTATAAAGAAGCATTTATATCGAATTTCACCTTGGTTCCCATATATATATAAAGGGCAGTATATATAAAATATATATATATATACATATATATATATATATATATATATATATATATATATATATATATATATATATATATATATATATATATATATATATATATATATATATATATATATATATATATATATATACATATATATGTGCAATTTCATGTCAAGTGACCCAACTTTTAAGATCGATGTCTTATATGGGAGTTAGGGCCATCCTCATAAAATTTGGAGAAGGAAATTATTATATTTTTATATTTTATCAATAATGAACGTTTAAGTCATTTTCTAAAAGGTAGTTCGTCGGGGGTACTAAACTTACTGCTCCTTATCTTCCTCATCCATATAACTCGACAAGAAGAAACCTTCATTATTAACACCTAATTCACCGCTATAATTAATGCTCAATTTCCATTGGGTATCAGCTGAAAATTCCATATCCAACTTTGAACGATTTAATATTAAAAAATGACGTTCTTTTTCATATACATACTCCAACTCTTCCGATTCACCCGTTGGAAGAGATTCAATAGTAACTTTCTCAACTTCAAGTTGACAGGCATGTAAATAAATTTTTGCAGTGGCTTCGACAATTATAATATCTATAATGATTTCACCTTTAAAGGATTTTTCACCGGTATGAACATTTGTGGTGAGTTTTAAATCATAGTGCAGCGGATAGCTTTCATTGGGTAGACGGTAGTCTAGGGAGGTTTTATTATTTTCTTTGGCAGTTTCATCACTTTTAACTAAAGTTATAAAAATTAAGCAAAATACTTCAAAAGTCAACATGGAAATTACTAAAGTTTGCATATTGCTGACAGAAGTGTTTAAATTAAAAAAAATATTTTGTATTCAAATGATTTATTCTCTTTTTTTTCGACCGTGTTAAAAATACTTGATGTTAACTGTTTGAATTTTAAAACTATTATAAATTTCTATGTTAGTATAACTTCCAGAAACCAAGCGATTAGTTGCATAAAGTTTTAATTAAAAAATTCGTCATACCAATTAATAATGTTATAGTTTTATTTAGTTATTCTTACATTGTATTTTTATACCCTACACTAGTTTGCTTGCGTACAAAAATATAGGTCCTACACTACCTTCAATTGCGTCAAGCTAATCAGGACCACTTTCTGCGTAGTTTTTAAGATGTCCGTCCATTTACATTTATGGAAATATTGTAATCAACAGTGTTGCCAATTTGAAGTTTTTCCCGTCAAATCTGACGTTTTTGAAATGGCAATTGCGGGAAAAAATGCGTTGTAGCGGTTAGCGGGAAATTTGGCGATTTTTAACCAGCATTTAGAGAGTTTTGACGTCTTTTCTTTAGACTATAGACTAGGACTAAAGACTAGACTATAGACTAGACTATAGACTCGACTATAGACTTGACTATAGACTAGACTATAGATTAGGACTATAGATTAGACTATAGACTAGACTATAGACTGGACTAGACTATAGACTAGACTATAGACTAGACTATAGACTAGACTATAGACTAGACTATAGACTAGACTATAGACTAGACTAAGACTAGACTATAGACTAGACTATAGACTAGACTATAGACTAGACTATAGACTAGACTATAGACTAGACTATAGACTAGATATAGACTAGACTATAGACTAGACTATAGACTAGACTATAGACTAGACTATAGACTAGACTATAGACTAGACTATAGACTAGACTATAGACTAGACTATAGACTAGACTATAGACTAGACTATAGACTAGGACTATAGACTAGACTATAGACTAGACTATAGACTAGACTATAGACTAGACTATAGACTAGACTATAGACTAGACTATAGACTAGACTATAGACTAGACTATAGACTAGACTATAGACTAGACTATAGGACTAGACTATAGACTAGACTATAGACTAGACTATAGACTAGACTATAGACTAGACTATAGACTAGACTATAGACTAGACTATAGACTAGACTATAGACTAGACTATAGACTAGACTATAGACTAGACTATAGACTAGACTATAGACTAGACTATAGACTAGACTATAGACTAGACTATAGACTAGACTATAGACTAGACTATAGACTAGACTATAGACTAGACTATAGACTAGACTATAGACTAGACTATAGACTAGACTATAGACTAGACTATAGACTAGACTATAGACTAGACTATAGACTAGACTATAGACTAGACTATAGACTAGACTATAGACTAGACTATAGACTAGACTATAGACTAGACTATAGACTAGACTATAGACTAGACTATAGACTAGACTATAGACTAGACTATAGGCTAGACTATAGACTAGACTATAGACTAGACTATAGACTAGACTATAGACTAGACTATAGACTAGACTATAGACTAGACTATAGACTAGACTATAGACTAGACTATAGACTAGACTATAGACTAGACTAGACTAGACTATAGACTAGACTATAGACTAGACTATAGACTAGACTATAGACTAGACTATAGACTAGACTATAGACTAGGCTATATACAGAAATTTCTTTTTTTTTAAACATCCTGTTTAAATTTGACGTTTTCTAGCGGCTTTTGCTAAAAACCTAAATCTGACAGTTTCTGGCGGTTTTTTTGACTAAGTTTGAAGAGAAATGGTGGAAAAAAAATAGCAGCATTGGTAATCAAACTTCAGGTCGCAAATTTGAAAATAACTCTATCATATTTAGTGATCTTCCACAAAAAATACTTTCATATCCGTAGATATCTCATTTTAGTTGTAGAATTTTTAGGCGACCGATCCATGGATCATATAATCTGTAGAGTTTGACTGATAATATGTTTGATTTTGGAAGTATTTAAATACTCCACACTAAGTACAATCAGCTAAAATTAAGGTACCCAAATCGTTGGGGATCTACGACCAGTTCAACAACTTAGATATTCTCTTATTCATAACTCCAAGAGAAATGGTTGTAAATATAAAAAATCTAAAGTAGAATGAAGTTTATAACCACAACTTATTATCTATTAATTTTATTTAAAGAATTCTCGATTTACTTATTTACATATTTACAAAGACTTAAACGTAATTTTTTTTAAATTATTTAACTTAACTATCTAAAACAAACGGGAGATGGTAACAAAAAGAACAGAACCTAACATTACACTTGAAGCGGTAAGACTAGCACTTCCACCATCACCGTTGTCATCATTTCCATCATTACCACCATTGTTACCCTCTTCCTTTTCGGCATGATATTGAGCAAACCAAGACATTAGAGGATTACGATTCTTTTCCAACCAATCAAAATTGTTTTTAATTGTAACCTTTACACTAGTTTCCAGATTAGCTGTTACATGTTCACTATTCTTTACTTTAGCTACCAAAGCCAAAAGCTTCTCCTCTTGTTTCTTATTGACCACATAAAAAGCCATACTACGAATATCATCATCTAAAGGATTAGTGCCACCAAAACCACTCTTCAAATTACCATAAGCATTCCAGTTATCATTTAAGAATTCAATACAGGCCAAAAGACCCACCTCGCCACGAGAATAGGCGGGACTAAGTAGTGTATAACGTTCTTGATTGCGCAATTTATTTGTCTCATCGATGGAACTGTAAATGAATTTCTTGATATGATTTTCATTTTGAGCACAACCCAAAGCTGAAATAAGTGCACGACGTAAAGCTTGATCGTTGGAATCCATAAGTTTGTTGTAAACAAACTCGAATTCCTCATCGCCAGATTGTTTAAGGCCATTGCAATAGATGGGTGTTTGTAGATTGGGTTCAATGGTTATATTATGCTGGACATAAGCTTTCAATTTATTATTGGTTTCCTCCAAACAATCCTTAACACCAGCCAAACAAGCCAAATTGATAACCACATTGCGTGTATATTTCTGATAATGATGTTCACCAGGAACATCATTGACACCCAACTTCTCGTATATAGGTGCCACCAATTCGGAAACGAAATACTTAAAGTGGGCATAATTAACATCTCCGCTCAAATAACGATTGAAAGCATTCACAATACCACTGGCAGTTGACCAGGGAGCATATTGATCTTCTTGTTTCAAATAGGTCATCATATTTAAGAGAATCTTATGATCTAAACGTTTCGAAACACTAAACTGATAAGCATCATGCATCAACTGAGCACGATTACGGGGATGTATTCTGTAGGGCCTATTAATAAGACCATCTGAGATGAGTTGCCAGTTTTGTTCATCATAATTGATGCGATAATAACCGGTGGATTGTTTGTTAAGTATTAACCAATCATCTTTGTTAATTTTTTCATCATTTACTTTGATTTCGGGCACCTTTAACAAGTAGTGTGAAGCTTCAGTATCGCGGAAGTCAGGATTTGAGGCCACCACATAGTTAATGGGAATATACCAGGATTTTTCCTTCTTAATGGTTTCATCATTGTAAAAGGCTTCTTGTTTAACAGTGAAAGTACCATCATTATAGTTACGGGTAACGGTCAACAAAGGATAACCACCCTGGCGAGACCAACTGCTTAACATTTCACTCATGGTAGCGGGGATTTTGTAATCTTCTTCTTTGGCAGCAATTTGTAAAGCGCTGAATAATTGCTCTTCATCGGCGGCACTGTATTTGCTGTAAAGTTAATAAAATCATAAGTTAAGGTTTCATTTATTACAGGCTTTATAAATAAACTTACTTAATAGTCAAATAGTTGTGTAGACCTTGTTTAAAAACTTTATCAGTCAAAGCATGATTCCACATATGTAGGACAGAACCAGCCTTGGCATAGGATACGGTATCAAATGTCTGAGAAATTTCTCTGGGTTTTTGCACATAATAAGTCATGGGTCTAGGATTAGTACCAGCATCTCGGCTTAAAGCACTTTGTAATTCACCAACATGAAAATCTTGCCAAACACCCCATTCTGGATAGGCCTACAATTAAGAAATCATTGTGAAATTTTTGTAAAGTAATCAATTTTCCTTAAATAACTTACATCATCCATTCCTTTGTAAGCGAAGAGAGTAGCAAAACCTTCCTTTAACCACAAGAACGACCACCATTGTATAGCTACATAATCACCAAACCACAAATGACAAAACTCATGAGCAATAAGTCTAGCAATATTGGTCTGAGTATAAACTGTGGAAGTTTCTTTATTATACAAAGTATATTCTTCACGGAAAGTGGCCAAACCCCAGTTTTCCATGGCACCAGCAGCAAAATCGGGTATGGCAGCTTGATCCATTTTAGGCAACATATAATCGACACCATAGTACTGAGCCAAACGTTCGGTTATCAACATACCAGAAACTAAAGCCCATTCTTGTTCATGCTTAGTGCCGGGATGTGAAAAGACACGTTGGGGCAAACCATTTAAAACACCATCACTATGTTCAAAATCGGATACAATAAAAGCTACTATATAGCTGGGCATTTTATCGGTGGTCAAAAATACTGTTCTACCGGGACTACAATTGAGAATAAAATGACATCTTATATAGAAAGCGTTTTTTCAGGGGACTAATTTAATTTACCTGGAGAGAGCTTCATTGACAGGCATATTTGAAATGGCTGAATAGGTGGGACTATGAATCATGGTTATGGTAAAATTGGCACGTTTGGCAGGTTCATCATAGTTAGGGAAAGCATGACGGGAATCGGTACTTTCAAATTGTGTTGTAGCCAGATATCTGTAATGATTGCAAAAACAGTATTAGATATTTGAAAGTTAACAGTTTTTTCAAAATATTAGTCCAAAATTTCGGAATGTCGACCGTTAACATCTTAATCATCCAAACATGTTCTATTAAACTTCAAAGTTCTACAGAACCCCCCAAATATCTGAATGTTAAGATTTCTACTCACCTCTTTTCACCATTAACACCCGTATAACTGGACAAATAGAAACCACCATTATCTGTACGTAATTCACCACTATATTCAACGGTAACTTTCCATTTGGTATCAGCTTCAAATTTAGCACCATTCAAACGAGTCAATGTTAAAAATTCACGTTCCAATTCGTAGTCAAATTTCAAGTTTTCTTGTAAACCATTAACGGGATTTACCAACGTGGTCTTAAAGTTCTTGAGTTGACGAGCATGAATAACGATGGCATTAGTAGTTTCCACTACCACAACATCGATGGTCACTTTACCCTTAAAGGCTTTATCACCAGTATGAACATTAGTGGTCAATTCTATATCATAATGTTCCGGATAGGTATGATTGGGTAGACGATAATTAAGGAACTCCTCGACACGCTCTAAACGAGCATTAGGATTTTCCTGGCCTGCTAAAATATCAAATTCCTGGGGTGGGGAGTAAGGTGAAGCGAAAACCGCAGTTCCGCTTAAAATTAAAGCGACTAAAGCCAAATGTAAAACCGAAAAACTTTGCATGTTGCTGAACGCCCGATCTACAACATGCGTATGAAAGTTATAATTCTTCTAACAGTCGCTTATAAACTTGAATATTATTTCGTTGAAATTTGGACATTGTTAAATGATTGTTAATCAGTTTTAATCGTTTTTTTTTTTCTTAGCACCGATAAAGTATTTTTGAAGTGTGCTCTATAAAATCAATATAGATTTGGTAACTTTTTTTTAAGAAATTGTTATAATTTTATTATTAACTTTTATTTATTTAGGTCGTAAATATTTTAGCGAATATGATGCCAATTTTGTAAATAAAATGAACATTAATTAAAAATGTATTTAATAATGTTTTAGTTATTTTTTTTTTTTATTTGACCGATAAGATTTCAACGATTTTTTTTGGGTTCAGAATAATGTTTGTTATCTTAATATTTGTAATTAAGTAGACATATTATTTAATAAGATACCATATCAAATTTGTTATTTTTCGTAAAATTTTTAATACTGTTTTCCAGATTAAAATCTTTTATGAAAATTTTAAAAATTTAACTTTATTAATAAATTTTATAAAAATCCAAAATAAATCAACGGTTGCGAGCACAAAAACTATAACTTTGGGCTATAGGATCTACATAGTTTTCAAAATAGGAGTTGTCCAAAGTAGAGACATGAAATGTTTCACGATATTTTGAAAACTATGTAGATCCTATAGCCCAGAGTTATAGTTTTGTGCTCGCAACTGTTGATTTATTTTGGATTTTTATAAAATTTAATAAAGTTAAATTTTTAAAATTTTCATTATTAAAGTTTAATTTTGTTTGCTTAAATAGTCAAATCTATCTTATCATAAGTACTGTATTAGCTAATTTCTTAAAAAAAATGTCAAATCAAATATTGACATTTTTTGAAGAAAATAAAAAAACAAAAAAAAAAAAACTTTCCAATTTGTTTTGCATCTAAATAGACGAAATCTTATCTTAACAAAAACAAAATTATTTAACAGATTTTATATTTTTTTTGCTAAACTTGGAATGTTTATAAATTATAAAACGATCATAAACTATATACTGTCGTGCTTAATTATTTGTTTTTAGTTCGTTATCATTTCGTTAAAATAACGAGTACTTGAGAAATATATACTATTTTTTATGAATGGTCATGTAGTTGTGCTCTAAAGTGTTTATTTGTAAGGTTTTTTTTTACTACTATATTTTTATTATTTTATTGTACTGTTGTTAATATTTGATAAATTATTTGATAAAAATTTCGCATAGCGAACTGTGTAATTTCATTAAAGGGTTTTGAGTTGAAGTGTATATTAAATTGTGTTATAAATGGATCATAGAAAGTTAACCCAGTTTAGCATTTCTTGAAATCTTTTATCACATTCGAATCATTTATGACTCTTCTATACGATTAACATTGTCATATATGCGCCCATTTTATGATCTTAAATAATACTTTCCTCGACTATTCTAAAAGAGTCTTTTCTCAGTCCCTCTTCTGATCAGTTTCGAATCATTATTGAATCCTTTTCGAGTCGAATTACTGAGTCTTTTTATAATACGGAAAACATTTTTTGATGTTGTATAAACAATCATATTTCAAAAACCTGAATTATCTATTTATGATTGTTGTACATTTTATTGCCCATAATCAAAAAGTATATTGATTTTGACATTCCATTCGAAATATTGGTCATACAGCCACAAAGGTTTGTTTAGTATTAAAAATGCCCCCATACAATTGGCCTCCCACAGTCATAACTGTTTCAAAAATACCAGTATGGGAATGAAATTCGACATAAACAAGTTTTGTACGAATTCGGATAGGTCTATAATTGACTCTACCACCCATATAAGGTCCCCTTAAGCACTTGATGTTAACGATCATTACTTTTTTAAAAAAATTAGCACTACGATGAAATCGCTCTACAAAATTTTGTGATGATCGGTCCAAAATTGACCCTATCATAGTTCACTTCAGAATGTGAATAACGCCCATTACTTGCTTAAAAATAAGACATAAACAAGATTAACAGGAACTGAAATCTTCCTACCAAATTTGCTTAGGATCGGTAGATAACTCCTTTTACTCACATTACTTACTTAAAAATACTAGTATAGCAGTGAAATTTGACATAAATAAGTTTTTACGAACCAAAATCTATGTAAAAAATTTCGTGAAGATCGGCGCATAATTGACCCTATTATTAATTGTTAAACAGTAGGATGATTAATTTTGTTATTGATTTTCAAATAATCAGCTTTTAATCATATATCGGGATCATTTACGAATAAAGTTTTAAGACCGCAACTTATTAATCACATTTAGGTCATCAAAAGGAGTAAAAATAGACTCAGTTTAGTGAATTATCATTAAAAAAATCTTCTGGGGAGTATCATACTTGGATCTATATAGTAGTTTAAAGTATTTGATATTGATCTAAGATTTGTTATTTATATAGTATTAATTTCACTTGATCACAAAATCGCTAATTTTGTTAGAATATCATAGATATCATACTTCTTATTTTGATATCAAGTATAATTCTCAATCCTAGACCAATCAACTTATTTATTATTTAAACAGTTTATTTTTCAATTAATCAATCGTTGAAAGTCTCTGGAACTGTCAAATTACTTTTAATTCTAATATAATTTAAAATGTACTTAACTTTTTGATGAAAGTGTTAAAGTGTTATTTACACAATGATAGCAGAAAAAATATGCAATTTATATTATCTTTCTTTCCCAAATGGCAACAAGACAATTATTACTTCATTTTCATACACGCCATCACAAATAAATGGGGGATATTTTGTTTTTTTGTCATTCCGTTTGTAATATAGCGAAATATTGGTCATAGAAACACAAAATTATATGTACAACTGGAAGAGCTGGAATGTTGAAGAAGTATCTGTTGATATGGTTTATCACCCATGTGTCCAATTGGCCAATCGAAATACTATTAGAAATATATTAATAGAAATTTTAAACGTATTTTATTTATTTTCAAACTTTCGTGTCTAAACTGTGTTCATTATAAATTTTATTTTTAAAATATTAAATAATTACTATTTTCCAACCTACGTGCATTACAATTATTGTGTTATAAATATTTATTTAAATCATCCATTTCGACTAAACAAATTATTTAAAATTCATTATTAAAGCAAACATCGAATAAGCATTTTTACAAACAAATAAAAACGAACCCAAATTGATATGAAACAACCAGGCCAATATAAACAAGGGTTTCTTGGTAGCCTCGGCAAAAATTCTCAAATTTTTCTTAAATACCTCATCCTGTTCCAACCAGTTGGAGGAGAATAAAGCATAAGATAAATTTCGAAATTCGATTTCAATAACAATGCCATAATAGCAAGCGGGCAGAATTTCCACTGTCATCGAGATAAAATAAACGAAATAATAGATCAGGGTAAAGGCATCGCTGGCAAAGAGTATTAAAAATACCAAAATAGTACAGATGTTAATGCTTGTGAAGAGTATTTGAACAAACATATAGAAAGAGACGATGCACAGTGGTATAGGAAAAAAAAAAGAGGGAAATAATTCGGTAACTTCTAAACGGTTAATCCGATTTTAATGAAATTTGGTATGCACAAAGAGGAGGTGTTGTCGAGTTTAGGTTTTGAATTTGGACCTTATAGGCCAACCAGGGGCCCGGCGGGGGGTCCTCAAATTAGGACACCTCGGCTATGTTAAATTTTTAAAACGATCCTATTTCTTCATTTGAGTTCCGATTTAAAAAAAATTTCGTATATAGAATCTCCTCATCGAGCACTATAAAAAATGTCGTCGTAGCAGTAAATTATCTCTTATAGTTTAGGAGATATTCGCATTTGAATATTAAAATTTTAAAATTTTTACCGTCCTTACTTTAGTTTTTTTGATAATAGCAGGTCCAAATATTTCCGATTTTCGCCATTTTTTTTTTATTTGCTTAACAACAAGTTTATATACCAAGCAGTGAAAGAATTATGTAAAAATCATGACTGAGTCCAAAGTTATAAGCATTTAAATTTAAAAAATTAAAAAAAGGCGATTTTTTGTCATTTTTTTGGGAAAAAAGTATCTTTTTCTTTTTAAGTTATCTAAAAAGTTTCTAAGAAGATGTATATAGAATTTATACTTTTTGGAAAGCTGACTTTACATAAAATACGATAAATGAAACAAAACCTAAAAATTTTTGATACCGAGGGGACCAGGTCCATCCAAAAAAACCCTATTTTTTATGGAAAATTAAATTTTGAGCAAAAATTCTCAAATCGCATAGTCGATATCAAATTATAGTGACCTGTTTTATATGACCCAATAAGTTCTTAATCATTTTGTAACGGGTTTCGATAACCCCGCCCCTGGTATGGATATAATAGGCAAAAAACCAAAAAATCCCATTTTTGGGATTTTTCAAAACTTTTTTGGGAATTCCGGGATTTCTAATAAGAAAATTCGAAATTTTTATTTAATTTTGGATTTTGAGTAAAAAAATCTACCTAACTGTAAAATTTCATCAAAAAATATTCATAAATAAAATTTTTATTGCAATTTGAAAAATTTGTATCTTCGCAAAAACTGAATAAAAAACATTTTTTAATTTTTTTTAAAAAAAGTATTCCGCGAATTTTTTAATTTTCAAAAATTATATACAGTTTTGAAAAATAGACAAAATTACCTTTCCATTGATATATAACATGCCTACCTAATGTTTTTTAAGTGACAAATTAATTAGGGAAAACTCAACATCTTTTAGAAAATTTGCCTAGCACTATTATTTTCATCCATAAGGTTAACTCTTAAATTTGTTACATATATGGATGAAAATAATAGTGCTAGGTAAATTTTCTAAAAGATGTTGAGTTTTCCCTAATTAATTTGTCACTTAAAAAACATTAGGTAGGCATGTTATATATCAATGGAAAGGTAATTTTGTCTATTTTTCAAAACTGTATATAATTTTTGAAAATTAAAAAATTCGCGGAATACTTTTTTTAAAAAAAATTAAAAAATGTTTTTTATTCAGTTTTTGCGAAGATACAAATTTTTCAAATTGCAATAAAAATTTTATTTATGAATATTTTTTGATGAAATTTTACAGTTAGGTAGATTTTTTTACTCAAAATCCAAAATTAAATAAAAATTTCGAATTTTCTTATTAGAAATCCCGGAATTCCCAAAAAAGTTTTAAAAAATCCCAAAAATGGGATTTTTTGGTTTTTTGCCTATTATATCCATACCAGGGGCGGGGTTATCGAAACCCGTTACAAAATGATTAAGAACTTATTGGGTCATATAAAACAGGTCACTATAATTTGATATCGACTATGCGATTTGAGAATTTTTGCTCAAAATTTAATTTTCCATAAAAAATAGGGTTTTTTTGGATGGACCTGGTCCCCTCGGTATCAAAAATTTTTAGGTTTTGTTTCATTTATCGTATTTTATGTAAAGTCAGCTTTCCAAAAAGTATAAATTCTATATACATCTTCTTAGAAACTTTTTAGATAACTTAAAAAGAAAAAGATACTTTTTTCCCAAAAAAATGACAAAAAATCGCCTTTTTTTAATTTTTTAAATTTAAATGCCTATAACTTTGGACTCAGTCATGATTTTTACATAATTCTTTCACTGCTTGATATATAAACTTGTTGTTAAGCGAATAAAACAAAATGGCGAAAATCGGGAATATTTGGACCTGCTATTATCAAAAAAACTAAAGTAAGGACGGTAAAAATTTTAAAATTTTAATATTCAAATGCGAATATCTCCTAAACTATAAGAGATAATTTACTGCTACGACGACATTTTTTATAGTGCTCGATGAGGAGATTCTATATACGAATTTTTTTTAAATCGGAACTCAAATGAAGAAATAGGATCGTTTTAAAAATTTAACATAGCCGAGGTGTCCTAATTTGAGGACCCCCCGCCGGGCCCCTGGTTGGCCTATAAGGTCCAAATTCAAAACCTAAACTCGACAACACCTCCTCTTTGTGCATACCAAATTTCATTAAAATCGGATTAACCGTTTAGAAGTTACCGAATTATTTCCCTCTTTTTTTTTTCCTATACCACTGTGCGATGTCCTCCAATTTTTGACGATATCTGTTGCGAAAGAGAAAGAAAACTTAACTTTTTATTTAGTTAAATAAGTAAATAACTTACTCCATTAAATCCTTATGATCCTGTATGCAGTCCAATAGTTCCCGATTATTTTGTAATTTTGTCTTTTTCGGATCACCACCCAGTTTGGCTACTCTTTTATTCAAAGTACGCAACTGACCACTCAGTAAGGCCAAATGCATGGTGGTAAAGGAATCATTGACTATATCCTGTAGTACTATATACGACACACCAATAAATTGATAAACATGAGCCACAAAGTATAACGTAGAGTTCTCGTAGGGATCAAAAACAAAATAGGCGGGATACATTAAACGCCAGCTACCCCATAAACCATTTACCAGCACCGATAATTCTCCAAACAATCCTGCAGTTGAGTACAAGATCATAAACATTTTCCATATACGATTTAAATCTCTTAAAATCACATTTTTAAAGTAGTGAGCCTCATCCTTATGCAAAGAAATACGTTTATTTTGTCGGTTAATTATATCCAACATGTTATCAATATGCTGAAGTTTTAACCAGACTATAATGGTTTTAATGCTGCATAGCAATACCGTTGCCGCCACAGCCAGATTTTTAATTGCATCATATAAAGTTGTACTTAAGATGAGACCAATTATCAAATGTACTGGATAAACGATCGTCACCATTATGTTCAAAAATATGGCATAGGTTTGATAGAGTTGGCGGTAATTTTTCGTTGGTAAGAAGCCCAAAATGCGCCAGCATATAAAATGGTAGCGAAATGTTGTCTTCACGTGCTGAATTGTAGTTTTTGTTGACATATCATTTGCTTTTGCGTGTCCGCGACCTTTTAATGATTTGAATAGTTTATTGGAACTCTTTATATTTTGCTAAACGTATTATTTTATATACATATTTTGTTTGCAACTTCTATTGGAGTCTATTAGTAATGACGTGAGTTTTGCAGTTGAAAATTATTTTAAAATAAACGAAATGAGAGTGTTATATTCGGCTATGCCGATTCTTTTTTATAGAACTATAACCTTCAAAACATGTGCCATAAATTTCAATTTCGGAATTTATTAAAACGATTTACTTTTATTAAATTTGATCTGAGATGTATTATCATATATGGATTAGGCATTAAGGTGATTTTCGGAAGAGTTTGGGCCGACAGAAATCAATTTGCGATCCATAGTATTACGGAACAAAAATCTAATTTTCATAAAAAAATCGAAAATCAGTAATAACTCAGTAAATTAAATGGAAAAATAAGTTCGATTTGTGATCACACATATTTCGGACCAAAGATCGATTTTTCGTAAAAAAATCTACAAAGGTTAATAACTCAGTAAATAAGTGTTTAAATGAAAAAATAAGCTCAATAAACAAAAAATCTAAATCGTTCATAACTCAGTACTGCTACCGGAATTGGTTTTAAAACAATTTTCCCCAATTAATTAGTCGTTCGTCTGCGTATGAAATAAACCTATCGCATAGTTCGTTACGTACGACGAATTTCGACATACGCAATGATTGTGTACATTTTCATATACCCAAGTGTGTTCTATTTCTGACGACGAATATTCGTTCCGAAAAATTCGTCCTTCGTCCCAATTGTGCGTATACTACCGGAATTGGTTTTAAAACAATTTTCCCCAATTAATTAGTCGTTCGTCTGCGTATGAAATAAACCTATCGCATAGTTCGTTACGTACGACGAATTTCGACATACGCAATGATTGTGTACATTTTCATATACCCAAGTGTGTTCTATTTCTGACGACGAATATTCGTTCCGAAAAATTCGTCCTTCGTCCCAATTGTGCGTATACTATATAGGAGGAAAATAAGCTTGATTTATAATAACTCATAGTTCGAAAAAAGTACTTAATGAACTTTTTATAAATATTTAATAATATAATGTAATTAATAATTGTAAATAGCACTTCTTTGTTACAAAACTCTTATAATAACAACTTTTTATTAAAAAAATATCTTTATTTATTTATAAAATATTCTCCTTTTACAATTGACCTAAATACAAGTTCTGCCAGTAGAGGAGGTTTATTCTGTGTCTGCTACAAAAAAAAATAATAAACAATATTAAATTGTTATTGATTTTTTTTTTGTTTAGTTTAAACTATTATAATTAAAATATATGACTATACAATTGTCTATAGAGATTTCCTGCTAAACGAAAAATATTTCCAAAACGTTGTGCTCCACCATTGTGTGTTTGCACGTCCATCATGGAGGCGGCATAAGTAGGTGGTGGCATTTGATTTTCCAACAACCAATTGTGTATATCGTTGCCGAATTTCTCTAGAAATGATTCACTCATTTTAACTTTTTTGCCAATTTTTGGTGAATCAATTTTTATCAGATTACTGCTATACTCCTCGCCCATGGATTTCAGTTCACGCATAATTTTGTGATGTAGATCATAGAACTGTAAACAAAGATAAATTTTATGGGAATTTTGCTTAAATTATAAATTTAATCTTACTGTACCTGACTGCGTCGATGTGTTGGCACAAATTCTGCTATTCTATTGAAAATATCTACAAACGATGGTGATCTCACCAAATACTCATAATGTTTCGATATATACTGCCAGATGACACCACGAGCCATCATATTCGTACGGAAGAGATAGACGACATAAATTAAACTTTCACTTTGATTGGGTATAAATTGCGTAGAATTAGCACCAAAAACAATATCCAAATAGTAACGTATTTGTGCGGAATTTTGGGTGCAACGTAAATTATACAGAATATCTTCGTATTGTTTTGTATTACGATCGGTTGCCGAGACCACTTTTATAATGGAATTAAATTCTTCGTTTGATAAATATCTGCAGGCCGAACATAGTACCGTGTCTTTGGTGACAAAGAAATCATTGTTATCCGTTTCGAATTCGATATTTTGAAAGATATAGTCAAAACCCAATTGTCGGGTGTATTCCAAACATTCGGGTAGGTCCACAATGCAAGCCATACGTAGTAGAGGCGTATGCAATTTGTCGGTAATCATTTTACCCGAACTATGAGCATGAGAAATTAGCTTATGATAAATAGGTCCTATGATTTGTTTAAGAAATTGCTTAAACAGCTCATGTGAAGGAGTGCCATATAAATTGCGTTCCAATAGCTCCACAGTGGGTGAAACAAAGTTCCACACCAACAAGTTGTCCTCATTAATTAAGTACTTAAGCAATTCAAATATAACATCTATGGAGAATTCATTATGTTCTATTAGAGAGTGAAGATTTTGAAATAAATCGGCTCGATTAAATTCATGTATGACTAAATGATTCTGTTGCAATGCATGGGCTATCCTTCGTAAATTTTCATCATCATAGAGTACATGATAGAAACCAGTTTGTTGCTTATTGACCACCAACCAATCATCCTCTTTCAATTCAATGCCAAAGTCTGAAAGATTTAGAGTAACTTCCTGTATGGGTGGCATAAAATAGTCGACAGTAGTACGATTGAAATTGTTGTTTGAGGCAGTGGCAAAATTCAAGGGTATCCACCAGTGTTCATTATAATTGGGATTTTTGGAACGTTGTTTTATGGTAATAGTATTGTCTTCATAGTTTCTGACTACATTGACAATGGGTATCCATTTGCTATGAGTCCATGACATCATTATATTCGATACCGACGACACCCATTCGGCATTATGTAGTGCTGGGTCTTTTTCAAGCGCCTCTTGCAGGCAATCGAACAGTTGCAATTCATTCGCCACCGAGTACTGACTTGACAAGGTAAAAACTTTTTTAAATTAATTGTTATACACCACTCTTTCAGAAAGAATTTGATTTAAAAGTGAACTTACTATTTCGTTAAAAATGACTGAATGCCACGAACAAATGTTTTCTGATTGAAGGCATGATGGAACATTCGAATGACACAGGCCGCTGAAAGAAGAAAACGGATGATTAAAATTGGTCTAGTTCAGATACAGTGCAGTTATAGTTCGGTTCTAGTGTGGATCTAGTTCAGTTCTAGTTCAGTTCTAGTTCAGTTCTAGTTCAGTTCTAGTTCAGTTCTAGTTCAGTTCTAGTTCAGTTCTAGTTCAGTTCTAGTTCAGTTCTAGTTCAGTTCTAGTTCAGTTCTAGTTCAGTTCTAGTTCAGTTCTAGTTCAGTTCTAGTTCAGTTCTAGTTCAGTTCTAGTTCAGTTCTAGTTCAGTTCTAGTTCAGTTCTAGTTCAGTTCTAGTTCAGTTCTAGTTCAGTTCTAGTTCAGTTCTAATTCAGTTCTAGTTGAGTTCCAGTTCTAGTTCAGCTTCAGTTTTCGTCTAAAATTATACCTTTTGAATAGGATATAATATCAAATATCATGGTTATATCACGATCAGTTTCCACATAATGTGTCATAGGATGAGGACTCATATTAAACTCATTATAACTATAGGCTCTATCGGCAGTTTCAATTAGAAAATATTCCATACTCTTATATTCAGGATGAAGCTGTAATTATGAAAACAATATTCGTAAAAAATACATTTAACAATTAATACAAAATCTTACCAAATCAATAAAAATATGAGCAAAATATGTAGCAAATCCCTCATTTAACCAGGCATAAGACCACCATTCAGGCGAAACCAAATCACCAAACCATTGATGTGATACCTCATGCACAATTGTCATGGTATCCTTGACTCTCTGATGCATATGACTGTCTCCATAAAGTAAATAATCTTCCTTGTATGTAATAAGGCCCCAATTTTCCATGGCCGCACCATAATTTTTATTCAAAGCAATATGATCAAGTTTTTTCAAGGGATAAGCAATACCTAAATAATCCTCAATAACAGTCAAGGTTCGTATGGCAAATTTAAGTTGCTTTAGGCCTTTATTTTTGCTAGTGGGTGGTGTATACAGGCGTTGAGTAACATTACGATATTCCTCTGAGATAAAACCGAAATTTGAGACGACGAATGCCACCAGGTATGTGGACATTAGCGGTGTTGTATAGAAGGTAGTTGTGGATAAATCACTATCGCTGCAGAAGGAGTAAAATGTAGAAAATAGAGAATGTTCATATTTTTTTACAATAGTTAGAGAATTGTATTTACTTACCTGTGTTCGATGACTTTGTCCACATCCATATTGGAGATGACATTGTATATTTTGCCATGAGTTACTCGTATAGTAAAATTGGCCTTAAAAGCCGGCTCATCATAACAAGGCAACGCTAAACGGGCACTAGTTGGCTCAAATTGTGTGGCTGCATGGTAACTGGTTTGGTTGTGATAAAGAAAAAAGAGAAACACATTAAAATTTGTTAAACTAAAATTTTCCTCTAAAAATTAAATTTGTTCACTAGTTTTCAGTACTTTTCAGTGATCATAAAATACATATTTAATATAAAAATGGGATAATCTACTAGAAAAAACATTAATTTTATGTCAAATACTTGATCATCTCCTTGGTGTATGATTCAAAGTCAAAAAATACTTTGTATTCGACCCAATTTGCTGATAAAATAGATTAAAAGAATTTCTACAATACATAAAACCCCACAAATCTGTATACGTCATTATGAGTTTATTGAGCTTCAAAAAGCATTTATTACATAAAAATTTTTCAAAATCTAATCAAAAAATTTATTAAATTCTTTAAAAATAAATGTTTAGATAATTCCAATTTTATATTTGAAATAATTATTTTAATTACAAACAGCAATTGCAAATCTAAACAAAAATTTTATTTGAAAAACCTATAGCAGGAAAGTTGGGACATGTGAAAGATTCAATTAACCTTTGGAATTTTTGTCACACATATATTGGGAGAGGTGAAAGTTATAGCTTGTCATCCAATAACAATTCTTTGACAAATCATATGTATTTTGATTTGGTTCGAAATAAAATTTAGTTCAAAAAAACTTATTTTTACATGTATTTAGTTCAAGACCTCTAATTCGCTCTAAGTCTTGTTTATGTGTTCTAATCAAAACTAAAACTAATTTAATAACGAAACTGAACAATTTGTGGATAAATTTGTTTTTGTTTTCCTAGAAAATAATAATTTTTTGTGGGGTTTTTAGTATTTTATACGTTTATATAAATAACACCTAAGGGATTCCCAAAAAATTTTTTCTCAATAAACTGTTGTCACAAAGGTTACTACACCACTATAGGAAATCATTACACTGAAAATAATACATGCCTAATATGAAAAGTATAATATTTCTTAAATTTTATTAAAAAAGTTTGTAGTTTAATTTAACTATAATGTTAACAATGTTATTATTCCTAAAGTTAAGTATGAATTATTTTCAGTTTATGCATTTCTGGTCATGTTTGTAACATCCAAAAGCAATAATATACCAATCAAGTTTTTGGGTCGATTAAGCCTGGTCCGTCTATGTAAACCTTGAAATCAAACTAGAAATCCTTAACAACAACTTTTGTGCGGATACCTGCACAATAGAGTGTCCCGAGGAACAGCCTTTTTAAGAATTTCATGTAGGATACCACTAGTTAGTTAGTTAGTTAGTTAGTTAGTTAGTTAGTTAGTTAGTTAATTAGTTAGTTAGTTAGTTAGTTAGTTAGTTAGTTAGTTAGTTAGTTAGTTAGTTAGTTAGTTAGTTAGTTAGTTAGTTAGTTAGTTAGTTAGTTAGTTAGTTAGTTAGTTAGTTAGTTAGTTAGTTAGTTAGTTAGTTAGTTAGTTAGTTAGTTAGTTAGTTAGTTAGTTAGTTAGTTAGTTAGTTAGTTAGTTAGTTAGTTAGTTAGTTAGTTAGTTAGTTAGTTAGTTAGTTAGTTAGTTAGTTAGTTAGTTAGTTAGTTAGTTAGTTAGTTAGTTAGTTAGTTAGTTAGTTAGTTAATTAATTAGTTAGGAGGATGTATGTTACATCAAATCCGAAGAAACACACCTAGGCCTCCAGGCGTGCTCCCTTACCAGTGCCTCAATTGGGAATCAAACTCACGAGCTTTGCTCTAATAGCCTAGAACACTAACCTTCCGGATGCCATGCTAAAAATCCATAAAATCTCACGAACAAACAACTTTCGTGCACACAATTACAACGTTTTTCCAACAAGTTAGAAGTGCCTTAAAATTTCATAAAGACCGGTCTACTGCAAGGTCGCAGGAAAACTTTAAATCAAATAAATCTTTGATCCGTTTTAGCCCGTTATACCGTGGTCAGTTCTCATTTAAAATTAGGTTTTTATTTATATATTTACCCCATAATCTGTATATTGGACAGAACTTTGATTTCGAAAATTTATATAGTTAGTTAGAATGAAAGGAGGCTATATATACATCAAATCTGAAGAAATACACCTAGGCCTCTATCGGGCCTGTTGTGCGCTCCTTAACAAGTGCCTCAGGTGGGAATCGAATCCACCAGACTAGAACACTAACCACTAACCTACGGGAGGCCACCTAACCTTCCGGAGGCCATTATATACACAAATATCACTAAATTTTTAAAAAATCCGGGGGTTAATCACAAAATTTATTTATATCCTAACAATTAATCATGATGTCTCATCGAAGAAGCGTTTTTCTTCAGTGTTTCGAAATTAGCTTAAACATTTTATTAGTATGTAAAACTTCCTATTATTAATATTTTAACACAACTAGTACCTATTTCTGGTTACGTTAAAGCAAATATATAAAATTGAACTTTAAAATTGAATTCGAACAATCAATTAATTGTTTATTTATTTATTTATGTGCGTCTATAAAATTATTTAATAATTGTAAACAAGAAAATTCTCACAATCATTTACTGATAAGTAGAATTTCCGTTGTTGCATTTGCCAACAAATTAAAGAGGGGAGTTCTAGGAATAGTAAGTGCACGATTTCAAATATATATGTGTAGCATTTAAGGGTTAAAAATAACTAATTTCACGAACATTCAATAGTAAAAGGCGCGTAGTTTTTCGTTTATATATTAATTTATTTTTGTTTACCTTCAATTCAATTGATTCACAGATAATGATTAAAATGGGCGAGTAGATGGGTGAGTGAGTAGGTTTGTTATCAGACTAGATAGATGGAGTGCCGGTATCATGGACTAGATACGGTAGGGATTATTATTGTTTTGATTTATTTGTTGTGTTTTGCAAATAATGACAAAAAAATATAACATTAAACACGTCAGTAGGAGTAAGTGTGTAATATTTAAGTGAAATTAAATGCATTTTCTTTAAAATTTTATGACTAGACAACAATCACCAACTGTTTAGAAATCGAAACTCATAAAGTGTGTGGATCTATCAATGACGACACTGACAGGGAAACTTTTTTGACTTTTTTTAGATTTAGATTTCTTATCAGTATTTTAATTATATATTTGTATAATAATTTGTTGTTTTTTAAGTGTGTGTTTTTATTTATTTTTAAAATTTCATTTTTTTTATAATTTCAATTACTAAAACAATAAGACACATACATATTGTATATAAATCGTATAAATGTTTTCCCTTGAGTAATATTGCTTTACAAATTACGTTTCTAGTATTATAATCTGAATAAATTTACTCCCCTAATAATTAAAATAGTTCCGGAAATGTCATTAACAAATTCTGTGTTTCAGTACTTACATGGTCTGATTATTATGATCCTGATAGGCTAACCAATAGAGCCCTGCATGCTTTTCATTCATGGTTCCCTCGTAGTGTATTTCGAGACGATATTTTTTCATTACCTCAAACACTTGATAGTATTCTCGGGCATGAATGATAAGAAAATTAGTGCGATTATCATGAGTATAGGTCAAGTCCTGTAGTTGGGTACCAGTTTCCAAATCATAGCATATAATGCTAAAATTTCTTAATTTTTTGGCATGCAAAACAATTTCATCGGTAGATTCTTTAATGTCTATAACTATGGACACATTTCCTTTAAAATCCAAATCACCTTTGTGGACATTGGTGGTGATATGCCAGTGGTAGTGTAAGGGATAAGTGGAATTGGGTAGACGCAGAGAACGTGGTTTAGTGAGAGCACTGGGTGCAGTTGTCGTTAAGGGCGCTTGAATATCCGCTATAGTTTCGAGACATGTGGCTGAATTTATATATAGCAACACGCTTAATACTAACGATATCAAAAAACTAAACTTTCTACTCATCTTTTGGTAATGTCGCCGTAACATTTCCCAAAACCGTTTGTGACTTTTTTTTGGTTTTCGTATTCCTTTTTTTCACCGTTTAGACCGTTCACTTTAAGTTTACAACCGCAACTAAATTGAATAATTCCAATTGATTCGCTACCTCCAAATGGTTAAAATTAAATTGGAATTTTTTTTAGCGATAAGATAAGAATACTTTAGTTCATTTTGGTATAAAGCGCCTCGGCGACTTATCAAATTGGCTCTCTCAAACTGTAGGTTTTTTGTTGGTGTTAGTAAAAATTCTTTCTCCGCCTATATACATGTGAGTTTTTTTATTAATACAATCAAAAAAATTACAGTTTGAGAGAGAAAATTTGATGCTTAAGAGTTGTTAATGCTGAGCATTGAGTGAGTGGCTTAAAAGTAATTTTTTAAATTTTCATTAACAAATAAGAGCAGTAGCTATTTTTTAAAAATAAAACAATCATAATTTGTGTTTATTATATATTAAACAGTCATTGCTCTGCAGGAAAATTCGTTTCTTGTATTGAATTTCTTTTTTCGTTTCAATAAATTATTGTTTCCTTGTTTTAATACGGTGAAATCTTTAATAATGTTATCTTTAAATTAATAAATTTATAAAGTTGGCCTAAATATATCTGCAATTTTATTGGACTTTCTAATTATTGCATATTAATTGCAAACGATAAGTGACTGTATAAATTATATAAAATTTTTCTTAAAAATTTAGCAAAAACTGTATCTGTTAAACATTTACCATACGTATTCTTAAACAACATTTCGTTTTATAAAAGGTTTATAAAACAAAATTTTCATTAAAAATGTTTGAATAATTCTCATTGAGTTTGGAGGACTTCATAACATGAGTTTGTGATCTCCATAACTTTTCGCATACACACATGACGACTTCTCAAAATAATTAGTCATAAACTTCTCAAGATGCATTGATTTTTATACCCACTATCAAAAAATATGATTGAAAACACGATAGAGGCCGAACGGAAATTGTCCAAAAATATTATTTAAAGCTAAGGTTTGTTTGGTATTGAAAATCGGTCCGTGTTTACGGATAGCCTCCACACATTACTGTTTTAAAAATACGAGTATAGCGATGAAATTCGACATAAATATGTTTCATATAAGCCAAAATCTCTCTAACAAATTTTATGAGGATCGGTCCATAATTAAACCTACCCCCCATATAAGATCCCCTTCAGGAAATGGCTATAACGCTCATTACTGGCTTAAAAATACGTATGTATATAGCGGTGAAACTCGTCATTAACTAGTTTAGTGCGAGCTAAAAAGTCTCTATCAAATTTTATAACGATCAGTCCATAATTGACCCTATCCCCCATATAAGGTCCCTTTCAGAAAAAGATTTTAACGCAGGCACAAAATAGCGAGTACACCGATCAAATTCCACAAGAAAAATATTTGTATGAACAAAAATCGTTTTACATAAGTTTAGGAGGATCGGTCCATAATTGGCCCTACCCCCCATATAAGGGTCCCTTCAGAAAATTACTTAAACGCTCATTACTGGCATAAAAATACCAGTAGATATATGAAATTCGACATAAAAATGTTTTATGGGAACTGAATTCTTCCTACCGACTTTGATGAAGATTGATTGATAACTTATCCTACCCCTCATTTAAGGAGGACTTCAGAAAATTAATTTAACTATCATTAGTAACTTAAAAGTACGATTTAGGCGATGAAATTCGAAATAAACAACTTCTTTACCAATCATAATTTATGAAGATCGGTCTAATAAGGACCACTTTAGAAAATGACTTTAACGCTCAATAATGGCTCAAAAGTTCATATAGATTACGGTAATTTTATAGAAACTGTAATATTTCAACTGAATTTGATGAGAATCCATAACTGATACAACCCCCCATTATCGGTTTCCTTCAGAGAATTACTTTAAACCTTATAACTGATTTAAAGATACGAGTTTCGCGATGAAATTCGAAACAAATAATTATTGTCTAAACCGATGAAGATAGGTGCATAAGCCCTCATTAAAGGCCCTCTTCCAAATATTACCCTGATGTTCATAATAATATCGATATATGATGATAAAATTCAACATCTAATAAATTAGACATTTTTTTGTTGATTTGATTTGATGATTTGATGTTGGGTATATAAGATTCGGCATGGCCGAATATAACACTCTTACTTGTTTAGATTGACGTTAATATCAAAAATTTACTCAACAAATATTTACTTCTTTATAACTCACATAGGGTTTTTCTTTTTGTTTATGTTTCAATTCTTAAAAATCACCTGATACATACATATTGCTCATTATGTGTGTTTAAATTTCAATATCAATAACTTTATGTTTAACTCAAAGAAATAAACAAAACCTTCTGAATCATGTTCATGTATGTTTTACATTTTGCAAAAATAAACTGGAATTTTTGGCGTCACAATTAATAGGAAAAACCCCGAATATCATTTTTGAGTCAATCACATCAAAATTGATGAATTTATCGCACAATATAAAAATAAATAACAACATCATAATTACTACCCAATTAGTAAAATAAATGAGTATTTGCGTTTAAAGTTATTGTTTATTTTAATGAAATCCGACACAAATTTTTACCTCTATCGGTCAAGAATAGAGTTTGGGAATTCCCGGAAAACGGTAATAAAAAAATTCATTTCCCGGGATTCCCGGAATGATGTTATACTATAGAATATATAAAAATGAATTTGTAACAATAACAACATTTGTTAACAAAACTGACAACTATTTTTAACGAAATCAAAAAAAAAAATTTTTTTAAATATTCATAGTATTTTTGTAAAATATTCTTAGTAAAGTAAGTAAAGTATTTATTGTTGGCAGAAAGTACAGACAGATGAGGTTTCCAGAACGGGGTCTGCTCTTCATATCTCCAGCGACTTTAGTTTATCAATATCAGTATCACACATTCTATCTTCAGATAGATGGAGTAACCTCTTCATGGAACATCTAAAGGGGCCAAGTCATTGTGGCTTTCTTTCAATGAATAACGCACAAGACACCTTATAATCCGAAATACGCGGGATATATCGAGGTTGATAGCAGTAAATGCATTCAAGTCTGTTTGGGGCTACCTTCAATTAGTACTGTCGCAGTTTCAAAGACAGGGAAAAGGAATAAACGGTTTTCCATCTTTTCTGTGAATGTCCTGCTAAGAGAAACTCTTTTTTTTTTTTGCGATTACCGTCTGTCCGTCTACGCGAACTTCCTTTTTAGTTAAGTTTGTTTTCAAATGTCTGTTTGTCTGTCTGTCTGTCTGTCTGTCTGTCTGTCTGTCTGTCCATCCGTCCGTCTTTATGTTTGTTGAAATCAATTTTCTAAAGACCCCAGATATCTTCGGGATCCAAATCTTCTGTCAGACATGCTTTCGAGAAGTTTCCTATTTAAAATCAGCAAAATCGGTTCATAAATAACGGCGATATGACCAAAAATCCGATACAACCTCTAAAAATTTCCTCAAAAATTGAGCATTTTCGTAGATATTATAAACAAACAACAACACATGTAATTACACGGTAAATTTTGTTATTGGAATGACTTGTTTATAAAAACAATGCAAAGAAAGAACAACAATTACCAATGAAGCAGTGAGTTGTTATTGACTAGAAACATGAAATTAAGTATGTAGGGCTCGAAGTGATAAAATATAAAAGGGTTTTTTTTGGTACTTTTTCGTGCTTCAAAAGGCACTTTTTGAATTTTCTATAATACTGGATGTAGAAACATGAAATTAAGCATATAGGGCCCTGAGTATGTGATAAAATATAAAATTTTTTGGTACTTTTTCGTTCTCCTAAAGGTACTTTTTTAATTTTCTATAACCTAGAAACATGAACTTAAGTATGTAGGGCTGGTGTAAGAGAAATCATATAAAAGGGAACTTTTTGGTACTTTTTCGTTCTTCAAAATGTACTTTTGAATTTTCTATAATATTGAACCTAGAAACATGAAATAAAGTATGTAGTGAGAACATATAAAAGGGAAGTTATTGGTACTTTTTCGTTCTTCAAAATGTACTTTTCATATTGAATCTAGAAAAATATAAAATTTTTTTATTTTTTGTAATAAAATATGTTCTGGCTGTTTAACACGCTATGGTGAAGGGTATATAATATTCGGCATAAATTATAAAATCGATGGTTTTTCCAAAATATGTTAAAAATGCATGTCCCGGGAAAGCCCGACAAATTTTTTCCGAGAATTCCTGGACGGGATTTTACATAGCAATTATTACAGCATTGTGATCCAAAAAAGGCATGCTAAAGCATATTTTACGTTTTAGCGCATATTTATGTTATATGTTATGATCTATTTTTATATTTTTTGAAAATTATTATTTTTTTTTTTTTGAAAATAAAATTTTTTACAAATTCCTGTTTTGAATTTGAGATCAAATGTTGCGTTTATTTATGTTATTTATTAGTTATCTGAACATAGAATGGAATCTTAATAAACATTAACACTTTAATTCTTAAAAGAACATATTTTTTGGTTTCCCTGATTATTATTAACTGAAAAAAATAATAATAATAACCGGTAGATACATCTTCCAAAGAATCTATTTACGTTCGTGTTAACAGCAAAAACACATTAAGATTTTTTAAGGCAGATTCTGTTATTAGCAGAAAGAAAATACATACTTATACAAATAAGCCAGACGTGGGAGTTATTTATAATACATACATACTTAATATGAATGCAAATATATATGTTATAAAAACAATGTTGACAGTGAATAATTATGTTAACCGCTATAAGTTCGATGAAAAAAGTACCTTTTAGAGAAATTCTGCGAAAGTCCTATATCTAATTTTCAGTTCAGGAACAAAAAAATACCAAAATATAACTTTTTGTTTCTAGGTTCAATATTATAGAAAATTCAAAAGTACCAACTAAACAACGATTAAGTACCAAAAAGTTTCCGCTTATAGATTCTCATTTAATCGGGAATGAAACCAAATTTTTAAAAAGTACCATCTCTATATTTGTAAATTTTTAATAAAGTACGAATGTCAAATACATTTTATGTCTATATTCACTAATTTAAAAGATACATGGGGCGCAAAAACTACCACCAATATAGTTTTTATCTGTTTACTCTCTAAAAACGCTGAAATTCAAAAATGTAACGCGTAAAGCTAATGGTTCTATACCCACTTTCAACATATACCAATCGGCTCAGAATAATTTTCCGGTCGCAATTTATAAGATTAGTGGAATTTGGTGCACGTATTACTTTTGACGATACTTATTGATTATGGTTGATATCGGCCCATTATTTTACCTAGCCCTCATATAACCGGACCTCCTAAATTGGGCTTTGGAGCTCAAAGTTATGCCATATATACTAATATACCAACAGAAATAGGCACAAGTTATATTAGTATAATTGATACTACATGATCGGCCTTTATTTGACCGGCCTTTAATTCACCCTAGACCCCCTATAAAAACCCCCTCTAAAAATGCTTGAAAGTTGTTAATTCTCTTATGAACACGTACATATATTTCTATGAAATTCGACATACTTTATTTCAACAAAAATCCCTCTACCCATTTTTGTTGGGATCGGTTTATATTTGATCCAAGCCCTCATATCAGAAAATCAATTTTTCATCAAAAATATATTCTATATATATTTTTATATTTTTTACTTGTTACTATACCCTACACCACTTTATTGGGGAGGGTATATTGGGTTTGTGCTGATGTTTGTATCGCACAATAATATTAGTCCTATGCCCACCAATCGGTTTAGAATCATTTTCTGAGTCGATTTAGCTATGTCCGTCCGTCCGTCCATGTAAACCTTGTAATCGCAATTTTAAAGATAATTCAATGAAATTCGGTACATGATCTTCTATTGTCCAAGGGACGTAGCCTATTGAAAATGGTTAAGATTGGTCCATTATTTCACCTAGCCCCCATACAACTGAACCCCGAATAGGGCTTGTAAACCTTGTAATCAAACTACAGGTCGTAATTTTGAAGATAATTCAATGAAATTTGGCTATGATCTTCTATGGTACCGGAGACGAAGCCTTTTGAAAATGGTTCATTATTTCACCTAGCCCCCATACAACTGAATCCGCCGAATAGGTCTTTTAAATTCATAATTATGTTTAATATACTCGTATCTCGACAAAAGCTGCAAAACCAAGTTCTATACTAGCTTTGATGACCCTCATGAATTTTATAATTATAGGGACCATAGACCGGACCATGGTCGGCCTCGCCCGACTATAATTTCATACTTGTTTCTAAATATATTTAATTTAATTTTCTACTCGACTGTTAAAAATGTAAATTTATAAGTTTTTATAATCATAATATTTGTATTAATTACTCCCATCTCTGCAGTTCGAAAATAAGACACATTTATAAGCTTTGATTACAAATTTTAGTTCTCATTTCTCTCATTGATTATAAAAGCCGGTTCAATCAGAATGTAATAACTAGTATGTACATGTGTAGGTAAACAATAGTGTTGGGGTTTCAGAAGTTTTATAACTTAGTACTAAAATAGTACCTAGAGAACCTAGAATACTATAAAAAATTGTTTAAATGTTATTAAATTTAAAAAAAAGGTAATGAATATGAAATCAATATTGCTGTTCAAATAAAATCTTTCGCTGTTAAATACCATAATTTTAGACATTAGGAGAATATACAAATAAAAGTACCAACAAGCATTAAATAGTCCCCCCAGGGTCAACACTTTTTTTAAAATATAGATAAGCAAAAAATATTTAAAATACTATTAAAATATTCTTAATGATTGCCGCTTTCACAAGAGCTGCTGTGGCTGTTTGTTTGGTCTGCTCTTGATTTTTGTTGAAAAAGATCTTCAGTTGGTGTTTTAAGTTGCAAACGGGAAGATGTTTACATTTCGCTTTAATTCTTATCGGATTTTTCAATATTTATTGATATTCATTTTTGTGTCAAGTGAGGTGATTGCCGGACAAACGCCTAAAAAATGTGCAGCATTTAATGAATATGTAAGTTTGTTTTAACTTATTATTGAAAATGGAAATAATTAAATATTACAAAAAAAGTACCTAAATGGTTATTAATTTTATAAATAAATGTTGTACACACTCAATGAATACTCAGGTTAAATTTCAAGAATTTCTGGTTTTCTTAAGAAATGTAAATCAATAATTTGTGTGTTTGTTTGTGTATACTAAATATGATTGTTTTCTCACTTTTTGCAGACACTGTAGTAATTTACCTATATTTTAATATGCGCTAATCTTAATTTCTCTTTTATGGCTTTTTATTATTTCTTTGTTTTAAAATTGGCACAAATAACAAAAAAAAAGTGTCAAAATCATTGGGATTGCTGTTCTAATAGCTGTATGAGTTATTTATATCGTTGTACCCGTGGTCACAATATCTATCCTTATCCCTTTTTGGGTGTTAGCTATAAACCAAGCGTAACCTTAGATCAGATACTAGAACAGAATTTCGGCAGCTCAAATTATATACCAGTTTCACAACCTAAACCTTATTTTGCCAGTCGTTTTGGTGTTCCTGATGATGCTGGTACCACTGAAGTTGAAATTGTTTTACAAACAAACTCGGAGGAAACTAATAAAGAATCGAGCACTTTAAAAAATCCAAATGTATTGGAACAATCAACAACCTTAAAAAATCCTGTTGTTTTGCAAGAGTCCACCACTTTAAAAAGTCCAGTGGTATTGCAAAAAAACACAGCTGTATTTGAAAATCGTTTAGGTCAAGAAGTAACCGAAGCTCAAAAGGAAGTCACTGGTGATGTACAAACCACCCAGACAAGCACAACTGAAAAGCCCTCATGCTCAGAAATTGGTGTAAAGGTACATAAATTACAAATACTTTATATACATACATATATAGTATATACATATATCTTTTCACAAACTTAAAATTGTTTCCAATTTGTTTCAGTGTTACACAAATGATGAATGCTGCACCAAACGTTGCCATGGATTTTTACATCAGTGTGTCACATAAATACCAGACAAGATATAAATTTGGTAATAACATTGTAATCTAAAACCTCTGTGAATGCAAGAATTCAAATAATTTTTTTTTTCAACAATAAATTCTTTTATAATTTTAAGCAATTACGAAATATTTAAACAAAAAATAAAAACTTAACTTTAACACAAAAATCGAATCATCTATAGAAATTGTCATAATCATTGTTTTTAAGTGCATTTTAATATACTGTAATTCATTAAGTGAGTAGGATTATCAATTAAAAAAAAAGTTGTAATACCAAAAAAAAAAAAAAATATTGTATTACGAAATTTGCAAATATCAACAAAAACAAGAACGTATTAAGTACAAGCTATAAAAAGAAATTATTAACAAAAGATCATATGCCGTAATGTTTCTCTCTGAAAAATCTTTAAAAAAAAGTTTCAATTAAGTTATTGTTAAGTCACGCACGACTTATTCGTATTTAAGACAATAAATATTTGTTTTTGTCGTTGAAGTGTATATGAAAAGATTGTGTAAAATTTGTGTCAATCAAAAATATGAATTGTTGAAAAGAACATCATATACTTTAAGCTGGAGGTCCACACCACGCGTTCTACGCTTCTTCGCATTCTACGCGGCTGTCAAAAAAGTTGAATCAATGTTGTTGTGTGCTAGAAGTTACAAGCACAAAAGCGTAGGATGCCTTGACGCGTAGAATGCTTAAAGTAGATCTACTTTCTACTTTTGTAAGCGTCATAAGCGGCGCACGAATATGTCAGCTGATTTTGACAATTTATATTCTATTTTTAATGTGTATTTATCAATTTTAATAACTAAAACGAGTTAAATTGTGAAAATATAAACAAAAAACTTAAAAAAAAAACACGAAGTTCTTTGTAAATAAAGCAAAAATTTGACGCTTAAGAAGCGTAGCATGTAACTTGATGCGTAGGATGCAAAGAACGTATGAAAAGCACGAAATGCTTCGCCGCGAAGACGCGTAGTGTGGACCTCCAGCTTTAGAGTGGAAATATTTCTTTCACAGATGAGAGAACCCTTGACGGATGAGGCTGAAAGTACAAAAAGCCCTTACTGAGTAATAATAGTATTACTTACACAAACGCATTAACTTGTTTGTTTAATTCTTTTAGTTAGTCTCAACTCTACATAGTATTTTGGTCGCATAATTGATCAGTTCCTGTTCAGCTGACTCCGGTAGGTTAGTGGTTAGAGTTCTAGTCTGGTAGACCGGGGTGGTAGGTTCGATTCCCACATGAGACACTGATTAAGGAGTACAAAACAGGTCCGGTGGAGGACTAGGTGTGTCAGTTTTAGTTCAGTTCTAGTTCAGTTCTAGTTCAGTTCTAGTTCAGTTCTAGTTCAGTTCTAGTTCAGTTCTAGTTCAGTTCTAGTTCAGTCCTAGTTCAGTTCTAGTTCACTTCAGTTCTCGTTCAGCTCTAGTTGAGTTCTAGTTCAGTTCTAGTTCAGTTCTAGTTCAGTTCTAGTTCAGTTCTAGTTCAGTTCTAGTTCAGTTCTAGTTCAGTTCTAGTTCAGTTCTAGTTCAGTTCTAGTTCAGTTCTAGTTCAGTTCTAGTTCAGTTCTAGTTCAGTTCTAGTTCAGTTCTAGTTCAGTTCTAGTTCAGTTCTAGTTCAGTTCTAGTTCAGTTCTAGTTCAGTTCTAGTTCAGTTCTAGTTCAGTTCTAGTTCAGTTCTAGTTCAGTTCTAGTTCAGTTCTAGTTCAGTTCTAGTTCAGTTCTAGTTCAGTTCTAGTTCAGTTCTAGTTCAGTTCTAGTTCAGTTCTAGTTCAGTTCTAGTTCAGTTCTTGTTCAGTTCAGTTCAGTTCAGTTCAGTTCTAGTTCAGTTCAGTTCAGTTCTAGTTCTAGTTCAGTTCTAGTTCAGTTCTGTTCTAGTTCAGTTCTGTTCTAGTTCAGTTCTAGTTCAGTTCTAGTTCAGTTCTAGTTCAGTTCTAGTTCAGTTCTAGTTCAGTTCTAGTTCAGTTCTAGTTCAGTTCTAGTTCAGTTCTAGTTCAGTTCTAGTTCAGTTCGAGTTCAGTTCTAGTTCAGTTCTAGTTCAGTTCTAGTTCAGTCCTAGTTCAGTTCTAGTTCAGTTCTAGCTCAGTTCCAATTCAGTTCTAGTTCAGTTCTAGTTCAGTTCTAGTTCAGTTCTAGTTCAGTTCTAGTTCAGTTCTAGTTCAGTTCTAGTTCAGTTCTAGTTCAGTTCTAGTTCAGTTCTAGTTCAGTTCTAGTTCAGTTCTAGTTCAGTTCTAGTTCAGTTCTAGTTCAGTTCTAGTTCAGTTCTAGTTCAGTTCTAGTTCAGTTCTAGTTCAGTTCTAGTTCAGTTCTAGTTCAGTTCTAGTTCAGTTCTAGTTCAGTTCTAGTTCAGTTCTAGTTCAGTTCTAGTTCAGTTCTAGTTCAGTTCTAGTTCAGTTCTAGTTCAGTTCTAGTTCAGTTCTAGTTCAGTTCTAGTTCAGTTCTAGTTCAGTTCTAGTTCAGTTCTAGTTCAGTTCTAGTTCAGTTCTAGTTCAGTTCTAGTTCAGTTCTAGTTCAGTTCTAGTTCAGTTCTAGTTCAGTTCTAGTTCAGTTCTAGTTCAGTTCTAGTTCAGTTCTTTCAGTTCAGTTCTAGTTCAGTTCAGTTCTAGTTCAGTTCTAGTTCAGTTCTAGTTCAGTTCTAGTTCAGTTCTAGTTCTTCTAGTTCAGTTCTAGTTCAGTTCTAGTTCAGTTCTAGTTCTTCTAGTTCAGTTCTAGTTCAGTTCTAGTTCAGTTCTAGTTCAGTTCTAGTTCAGTTCTAGTTCAGTTCTAGTTCAGTTCTAGTTCAGTTCTAGTTCAGTTCTAGTTCAGTTCTAGTTCAGTTCTAGTTCAGTTCTAGTTCAGTTCTAGTTCAGTTCTAGTTCAGTTCTAGTTCAGTTCTAGTTCAGTTCTAGTTCAGTTCTAGTTCAGTTCTAGTTCAGTTCTAGTTCAGTTCTAGTTCAGTTCTAGTTCAGTTCTAGTTCAGTTCTAGTTCAGTTTCTAGTTCAGTTCGTTCAGTTCATCTAGTTCAGTTCTAGTTCAGTTCTAGTTCAGTTCTAGTTCAGTTCTAGTTCAGTTCTAGTTCAGTTCTAGTTCAGTTCTAGTTCAGTTTCTAGTTCAGTTCTAGTTCAGTTCTAGTTCAGTTCAGTTCAGTTCTAGTTCAGTTCTAGTTCAGTTCTAGTTCAGTTCTAGTTCAGTTCTAGTTCAGTTCTAGTTCAGTTCTAGTTCAGTTCTAGTTCAGTTCTAGTTCAGTTCTAGTTCAGTTCTAGTTCAGTTCTAGTTCAGTTCTAGTTCAGTTCTAGTTCAGTTCTAGTTCAGTTCTAGTTCAGTTCTAGTTCAGTTCTAGTTCAGTTCTAGTTCAGTTCTAGTTCAGTTCTAGTTCAGTTCTAGTTCAGTTCTAGTTCAGTTCTAGTTCAGTTCTAGTTCAGTTCTAGTTCAGTTCTAGTTCAGTTCTAGTTCAGTTCTAGTTCAGTTCTAGTTCAGTTCTAGTTCAGTTCTAGTTCAGTTCTAGTTCAGTTCTGTTCAGTTCTAGTTCAGTTCTAGTTCAGTTCTAGTTCAGTTCTAGTTCAGTTCTAGTTCAGTTCTAGTTCAGTTCTAGTTCAGTTCTAGTTCAGTTCTAGTTCAGTTCTAGTTCAGTTCTAGTTCAGTTCTAGTTCAGTTCTAGTTCAGTTCTAGTTCAGTTCTAGTCGTTCTAGTTCAGTTCTAGTTCAGTTCTAGTTCAGTTCTAGTTCAGTTCTAGTTCAGTTCTAGTTCAGTTCTAGTTCAGTTCTAGTTCAGTTCTAGTTCAGTTCTAGTTCAGTTCTAGTTCAGTTCTAGTTCAGTTCTAGTTCAGTTCTAGTTCAGTTCTAGTTCAGTTCTAGTTCAGTTCTAGTTCAGTTCTAGTTCAGTTCTAGTTCAGTCTAGTTCAGTTCTAGTTCAGTTCTAGTTCAGTTCTAGTTCAGTTCTAGTCAGTTCTAGTTCTAGTTCAGTTCTAGTTCAGTTCTAGTTCAGTTTAGTTCAGTTCTAGTTCAGTTCTAGTCAGTTCTAGTTCAGTTCTAGTTCAGTTCTAGTTCAGTTCTAGTTCAGTCTAGTTTCAGTTCTAGTTCAGTTCTAGTCAGTTCTAGTTCAGTTCTAGTTCAGTTCTAGTTCAGTTCTAGTTCAGTTCTAGTTCAGTTCTAGTTCAGTTCTAGTTCAGTTCTAGTTCAGTTCTAGTTCAGTTCTAGTTCAGTTCTAGTTCAGTTCGTAGTTCAGTTCTAGTTCAGTTCTAGTTCAGTTCTAGTTCAGTTCTAGTTCAGTTCTAGTTCAGTTAGTTCAGTTCTAGTTCAGTTCTAGTTCAGTTCTAGTTCAGTTGTTTCTAGTTCAGTTCTAGTTCAGTTCTAGTTCCGTTTCTAAGTTCAGTTCTAGTTCAGTTCTAGTTCAGTTCTAGTTCAGTTTCTAGTTCAGTTCTAGTCAGTTCTAGTTCAGTTCTAGTTCAGTTCTAGTTCAGTTCTAGTTCAGTTCTAGTCAGTTCTAGTTCAGTTCTAGTTCAGTTCTAGTTCAGTTTCTAGTTCAGTTCTAGTTCAGTTCTAGTTCAGTTCTAGTTCAGTTCTAGTTCAGTTCTAGTTCAGTTCTAGTTCAGTTCTAGTTCAGTTCTAGTTCAGTTCTAGTTCAGTTCTAGTTCAGTTCTAGTTCAGTTCTAGTTCAGTTCTAGTTCAGTTCTAGTCAGTTCTAGTTCAGTTCTAGTTCAGTTCTAGTTCAGTTCTAGTTCAGTTCTAGTTCAGTTCTAGTTCAGTTCTAGTTCAGTTCTAGTTCAGTTCTATTCAGTTCTAGTTCAGTTCTAGTTCAGTTCTAGTTCAGTTCTAGTTCAGTTCTAGTTCAGTTCTAGTTCAGTTCTAGTTCAGTTCTAGTTCAGTTCTAGTTCAGTTCTAGTTCAGTTCTAGTTCAGTTCTAGTTCAGTTCTAGTTCAGTTCTAGTTCAGTTCTAGTTCAGTTCTAGTTCAGTTCTAGTTCAGTTCTAGTTCAGTTCTAGTTCAGTTCTAGTTCAGTTCTAGTTCAGTTCTAGTTCAGTTCTAGTTCAGTTCTAGTTCAGTTCTAGTTCAGTTCTAGTTCAGTTCTAGTTCAGTTCTAGTTCAGTTCTAGTTCAGTTTCTAGTTCAGTTCTAGTTCAGTTCTAGTTCAGT